GAGATAATGACAGCCCACTTAAGCTACCCTCCCTCTCTATGCAAGATGAATATAAAGACATTACTCGCTTTCTTGGGTAAGCTGAGATTGAAGATTATTTATCATGTGGAACTGCTTTCTGACAAGAACATCAAGATGCTTCTCAACATCAGCAGGCAACAAGGCACTTAAATGGTGGGATCATGTTGCCCCAGCTCCGAAAGATCCCATTACTAGTGTTACTGAGGCTTTTCTTGCTGACACTAGTCCCACAAAGATCAATCTTGGAGTGGTATATCTTTCTATTCCTACTATTTATTGATCCATTGATGGTGTTTCTTATACAGTCTTTTGTGGGTTGTGAATTAATAGTATCTTGTTGCTTCAATTTTTAGGGAGCTTATAGAGATGATGAAGGGAAACCTGTTGTCCTTCAATGTGTTAGAGAGGCTGAGGCAAGGATTGCTGGTTGTGACTTCTTGTGAGTTTCATTTGCTTAAATTACTTGTATATAGTGCATTAGCCTGGTATTCATCAAGATACTGTTTTTAAGTTTGATGTGTTCATTTACTATTCTATCTTTTAGAAATCCCAAATCTAATTATCAATAAGTGAACTTGGCTTTTCACTTACTTTTCTTTTCATTTGTCCAAAACTTCTCTGTAACTTGAAGGTTCATAATTCGATGTATTTGTGTGATGTTGTTCTTGTTTCTAACATAAATAGTTTATTTTATGGTCACTGCAGATATAACTTCAAAATGACAATCTCAACGTATTAGTGACCTTAATCATGGTTGTTCGCGAATGGTAATTATCAATAGTGATTATGGTGCCTGAATTAGTCTAATCTCGTGTGTCAATCTATCTGTACAAGTAACCTCTTGATTAGAAAAAGGGAGTAAAATGTGGATTTGCTTCATTCTTACTGAGCAAAACTTTTAGGCAAAATTTACGGAGAAATGGTTAGTCATGCTTACTACATGTTCCAAATATATTTGTTCAATCACAGAAACCATTTTGTTGAATGTAAGCTTTCTCCTTCTTCGCAAAAACTCCTATCTGCTGCAGAATGTTTTTTAGTCTCAACTTTTTAGAGGTATTGGCAGGGAGTCGGTCTCTTCTGCAGTGAGTTCAAAACTGGTTGAGGAGAGTGTCAAATTGGTTTATGGAAAGAATTCGGACATTATAAAAGAAGGGAGGTTTGCTGGAGTACAAGCTCTATCAGGAACTGGTGCATGTCGTCTCTTTGCTGAGTTCCAGAGGCGTTTCTATCCTGGATCTCAAATATTTATGACTGATCCAACTTGGTCCAAGTAAGTTTGTTTGGTATACTTGGTCCAAGTAAGTTTGTTTGGTATGCTTGGTTATTTCTCAGGTATATGAAGCTGGTTTTTTAAATTGGACTAATGCATGAGCTCCCTTCTGTCAATGACCTTCAATCTTGCGCAATGTATAGCCACCATAACATATGGAGAGATGCCTTCGTTCCAGAGAGAACTTTTCAATACTACCATCCTGATTCAAAGGGTTTAAATTTTCCTGCTCTTATGGATGATGTCAAGGTATAGCAGTTTACTAGAATTTTTCGCTCAGATAATTCTTTATTTGATAATTCAAAAGATTTTTATTGTTTCTAATACACTCACCATGTCATTTGACTAAGAGGCACATGAAAAAAATCAGTAATGAGAGGCTATCTCTACATTACTCATTGTTTAATCATGAATTGTCTCAGACATTTGCCATTTCTATCTTAACTGTTCCCTTTCTGAATATGTCTCCGTGCTGAGAAGAGCACTAAATATGCTGCATTATATTAATCCATGCAACATATGGAGTAAAAACAACTGTCAAGTTTCATTAGTTTATTCTGTTTGATGGTTTCTGTAGAATGCCCCAGATGGTTCTTTTTTCTTACTACACCCTTGTGCTCACAACCCAACTGGGGTTGACCCTACCGAGGAACAGTGGAGAGAAATTTCGTATCTTTTTAAGGTAACTATACCAGATGCTGTGTTTCACCACATTTCTGCATATCCAGATAGTCAAGTTAAGTCTGTCTTTGTTTTTTTTTCTTCTTTTTAGGTAAAAAATCATTTCCCCTTCTTTGACATGGCTTATCAAGGTTTTGCAAGTGGGGACCTCGACAGGGATGCCCAATCAATCCGAATTTTTGTTGAAGATGGGAACTTAATAGGTTGTGCTCAATCCTTTGCGAAGAACATGGGATTATATGGACATCGAGTTGGTTGTCTCAAGTATGTGCACATTCTGGATTATATTTTGAGGTTGTGTGCATATTTTTCATTTTCACATGTTGGAATAGACTGGTTTTATTCCTGGTTTATTAGAGCAGAGAGTTATTTGAGATCTAGCTTTCGCACCTGTTTGAGTTAATTATAGATTATGAGTAGTGATAAGCATAAAATAGTACACAAAATCAGATAAAGTAATTGACACAGTCCTAATCCATACCGAATTATCTGCACTGCCATTGAATGATAGTCAAATGGTATGGTCTGGTTGCTGTTCAAGTAATCTAAAAGTCCTCACCTCTCTCCCTCTTGACTTGTCTTTAGGTTTGAATTCTGATATCAGTTACTTTTACGTCTTTCAGTGTTCTCTGCAATGATGCAAAGCAAGCAGCTGCAATTAAAAGTCAACTGCAGCAGATTGCCCGGGCAATGTATAGCAGTCCTCCCGTTCATGGTATATTACTGGTCTCAGGTATCTTGAGTGATCCTAATATGAAAGCACTTTGGGTCGAAGAGGTGAAGGTAAATACTATCACGGGTTATTTTGTCCTGTTTTGTTTTATTATTTCTCAATTAGATATACGAATCGGTATCTAATATCGCTTCTGATCATACATGCAAAATAAGGTGATGGCAAATCGCATTCAAAGTCTGCGGACTACTCTGAGGAAAAGCCTTGAGCAATTGAGTTCTTCGCTCAATTGGGAACACATAACTAATCAGGTTAGTAGTTTAACATTGTAGTTCAATTCATGCTGCTTCAAATTCAGAGTATTTGAAACAAAGAAAAAGGAACTGAAATTTTAGCATTTAACTTTAAACATTTAGCTAAAAAATTACCAAATTGCAGGTTGGGATGTTTTGCTTCTCTGGCTTGACCCCTGAGCAGGTTGATCGGCTGCAAAGGGGATTTCACATTTACATGACTCTTGATGGACGTATGAGGTAAACCTATTCTAAGAAATAATGCATAGATATAATCCTAAGATAGGTTTTTTCATTTTCTATTATATTAATTTAATGAGCTATAAGAATAACACAAGCTGTCTGATATGACTGCACTTGTCACATGCAGCATGGCTGGTGTTACCACAGGCAATGTGAGTTATTTAGCAAATGCAATTCATGAAGTAACCAAATTTGGTTAGGAAGCATTGATTATCTTTAACCGTCTCCATCAGCTTACATGCGACTACAGATCAATTTTTATGCTGCTAAAGACTTGTTCAAGTGATGATAACTATACAACCACAGATTCTTGAGGAGCTGGAGAATAAAAATTTCAGACATGACTCGGCTTATTATTGTTCTATTTTAGGCTTTGTAAAAAATCTATCTACTTTTTTACACAAAAATATCAATCTATATATTAATGCAGATGAGACAGATGAAATTGTACATGTTTGTCCCTGATATGAGCTTCTGAGCTCTAAAAACTATTTTATTAGAATGTGATGATTTCTTGCTAGTTTTTCATCAATGAATTATCATATGAAGACTCTGATATTTGATTTTAATTCATCAATATCTTGCCTCTCATCGATATTGTAGACACTTGTTGAGAAAGATCAGAAAAGCAAAGGCTATCTTGCTTCATCTGAAAGAGGCTAGTTACTGTAATTGATTTAAGAATATGGAAGTTTTAAGCATGGAAACTTCAATGGTTTGTCCTTGTAAATCCAAATCAATCCCTAACATATGGGCAACATGGAACACAATCTCACAGAACAGCTGTGAAACACGCTCGTGATGCTAGCAGGCTGAACTGCCGACAAGTTGGACACAAGCAAAGCTTGAGCAACTGTTATTTGTTAGTCATTGGATTTCCATTTTGGAATCTTCTTGTGAGGTTCTTCAGTCTCATCTAGTCTTCTTTGTCAGTCATTAGAAAGAACAAAATGAGATCCTTTAGCAGTACATCTTTCTTTGCTCTTTTGTTCTTTAGGTTCTTAAAGTACAGATGCTTTTGGCCCCTGGAATTGACTAATTGGATTTTTCTAAGAACGAACTGTCTATGATTCATAGTTAGGAAGAAATTTCCCTGAGCTTTGTATTCGATCTGATTTTGCTTTTGTATATGCTCATACTTTTGGATTGTATGAGCAAGATCTGATCTTGTCTTAAGCAGCAAATCAATAATGCCTAAACTAGGCAAGATGAACAGGGATTACACATACATGCAACAATTATGCATTTGATTGAATAATTGTGTGGTCGGTGAGTCAACTCATTAATTGATCTTATTTAGAGACAGGCAGAAGCTTGATGTTCTCTTTTTACAAAATATGACAAGATTTCATTATGACAGAGGACAACTCAGAGCCAAAAGATTCCTAGCAAAAGGGCTACGGTGAAATTAAATATTTTGGTAGGAAACTGTACCAATCTTTCCTCTTTGCATTAAATAATCACAGAGGTAGAGATAGAGACACAGAAACTTCTAACAACAATGTCTTTCGGCAATCAGTTACTAACTGCACCCCGCCTTAAAATGTATCCTCCAAAAATACGCTAATGCCCTACCAGGTGTATTCTTGAGGGCTTGAGAGCCATGCTCATTAAGGCAATGCATTATCATAGTAATTAGTAAGAAATTAGAGATGATGGATGACCAGTAGGGTACTGATAATTTCATGCACCCTATGACGGTGTTTATCGGTTGCTAAATTGAGCCAGAGGTTCAAGTAATTTCATTGTTGGTGAGTGAAAAACTTAGGAAGTTCTAACAACAGAGACGACGCTGAATTAATTAGATACGTCACAGTAGCAAAATAAACAAGCTATGTTTTCAACAACATTCAAAATACATTTCATTAATCATGGCTGTTCAAGTCACACAATCACAGAAAAATTAAGACCACCGAAGATTAAAAACACACACATTAGCATAAACATGTTGAGAATCTCTAGACAGTTTCTAGGCCAGATCGAACAACAACGAGGACCAAGAATTGGCTACCACACACCATAGCATCCTCGAAGCCCACCGGTACTGGCATTTCTCCCGCTAATGCCAAAGCACAAAGTTGAAGTAGGTGATCCCATGTGTGATTCTTCAACATCTTCAAAAACCCTCGAATCAAATGACGATCCACGGCTAGAATACCTTCTCCTCTCATGGTACTTTCTTGGAGTCAGAAGACTTGATGAATTCAAAGATGACCATGATGCAGAAGACGGGGTCGGTGACAAATTTGTTGCAGAAGTGGACACGTTGTTTTTCTTGGGATTGTTCCTTGAAAATAACAATTGTAAAAGACTGGATCTTGAGTGTTTCTTGATGGTCTTTTTATCAGAATTTCTATAGTAAGAGGGAGGTGGAGTTAGAGGAGGGAGTGTATTTTCACAAAATGTGTACTTGGGGGTGCCAGGCTGAGACTCCCACACAAATGGAACGCCAACAGATACCCCACCATAATACACTCTAAAAGAAGGGTTAGCCATGGAGCTTTCCCTGGACAGAAGCCTGGAAAAAAACTTGTCATCATGCTTAATCTGGAGGGCTTTTTGTGGAAGGTCCATATCTGGAGTAGCGCTCCTCCTAAGCATCTTGGATTGATGGATTTTCAGAAATGAAAGAGAGGGAGCACCTAAGAATTACTACTAATTAATTGAAGTCTTGGAGCACATATATAGAATAGAATAGAACATGCATCGCTGGTCATACATTGACTTAAAAAGATTTGTGTGAAGGTGCATGGTGTCCCACACTAGAGCATCAGTGACCTAACAAAGCCCTCTAGATATCATAGCTACCCATTTTTTTACCAAAGTTTCCGGTTCTCGTTTAACAGTGGCGGGCTCTAAGCTCATCGGATTACTCGTACTTCTCAGCATAGGGATTCTCCTGGCCGTGCAAGGCAATCTAGAGCCTTTCTCTGCATGGCCCCCATCCAAGAATTCGATAAGAATGCAAAAGTTAAAGAAGAATTGCCTCTTTTTTTAGTTTGGGTGGTAAGATTTGCACATCTGCACACTTTTTTTTAAGTGACGGTAGCTAGTTTTCATATATTAAAATAAACTGTTATGCAAGCTATATATCTTCTAAATAATAAAATATTCATGATAAATTTCTTTCTCGGTAGCATAACTCAGGATAATGGCAACAAAATCAAATCTACCAGTCTTTTAGTGGTTATTTTTTTAATATTTTTTATTTAAAAATATTTATTAAAATAACATAAAAACACTAAAAGATATTAATTTAAAATAAAAAAATAATATTTTTAGAATACAAAAATAAACATGTTGTTAATAATATCTGAATTGATGCGTTATTTTGTTTTATTGCCTCCTTTTCCAAGACTTCAACCTAGATGGCAGTGAGAAACAAATTCATTGACAGTTTTTTTTTTTTTTTTCCTTTGCTGGCTTGTGGCCACGGTCTTGGAAGTAAGAACAGAAATTAGACACTTGAGTGTAGAAAGCTATGATCACTTCGAGGAGCAAGTCATGTGATCCAATGACACTTAACACATGCTTATGATGTGAAGGTCAAACTGTTTCTTGAAATGCCCCATATGGGATGCAAATGCGATCCAATAGCCTGGAGTGCAAATGCATCTACAATAAAGTATTATTTGCTTACACGGCACTTGATTTAAAATATTGCCCTCTCATCCATGGAAGCCATAGCCATTTATGGAGAGCTTTCTTGGACTCGGTAGGACCGAGTGATGCCGGTTTTTTTCATCTTTTATTTTGTGTGATAATTAAATGTGTCTTCCCTTTAATTTGGTTGGTGGAAATTAATTTCTTTTAAAAAAAAAAGTAAGGTTAAAGATGCATTATGTGATGCTGATATGAACACCATAATGGATTCAGATGATATACAGTGACTGGTCCCTTAATTAATGGGTTTGTCTCTACAAAATAAGTCGATGAGGGTACAACAAGACTGATGGGAAAGTGGTCCTGCAATCCTACATGGAGATTGAAGGTTGTTTCTGCAGTGGGCCTCTCAACCGTTGAAGTTGGGCTAAATCCTGATGTGGTGTTGGGCCAGTCGTGGCAACCATCATGTCTTCACCTCCCGCAATACTTAAGGACACTATTCTCTCAAATAGCTATTGCTTTCTGGATCTATACTCAAGAAACACGAGTTGGCAGATGTTTATTTTTAAGAATAATAATGGTTGTTTTTTAAGATTTATTTTTTAAAAAAAATAATTTTTATTCATAGTATATTAAAACATTCGAAGACATAAAAAATAATTTTAAATAATAAACAAATTAGTTTTTATAAAATGCTATTTGAAATCCAATTGATTCTTAAATTACACACTACCTTCTTTTGCTTGTTAGTGAAGCTATCCTATTATCTAGAAAAAAAAAAACTAAAAGAAATAGAGTGGAAGGTCACCATTTAAGTGTTTGTTTGGCGCGTTATTTTTTTTACTATAAATTAATTTTTTTTATATTTATTAAATTATTTTAGTACATGGATATTAAAAATTAATTTTAAAAAATATTATTTTAATATATTATTAAATTCAAAAAAACATTTTAATTAACAATATCTGTCACCGTCACCAATAACCCCTTCCAACCCCAGTTAATATCCTTTCCTTCTCATAACCATCGCTTCCTTCCTTGTTTCATTAACTGCCCAACCAAAGTCAAAACCCCACCATCCAGTCACATCTTGCCACATCAGTATCATTTGTAATCAACTAAAAACGATAAACGCCCTAACAACATCTGTCTCTGATCCTCCATCCCCATAGTAACACGTAGACACATGTCATAAGCATTTAATCTGCTCCTCATCACAGAAGATCATAAGTTATGGGATTAAAGCAGGGCCAGCAAGCAACCCAACAATAATTCGTCTATTTGGCTGATCAGACACTCTAATCTAAAGAGGAACTGCTACCTCTCTCTCTCCCTCTCTCTCTCTCTCTCTCCCTCTCTCTCTGCTTTCAATTCCATCGATCAAAATCCTCTTACCGCCGCCGAAATTCCGATCAGGTAATCTTCCTTATAATTATTTCGGTATTCTATTGATCTCTTATATGGTTCATGTTAATCAATTCCATTAAAATTTTAGTTTCCAATTTTTAATTAATCTATTTTTTATTTAATTATACTGTTTTTATGCAGGTTAAAACAAGGTAATTATTAATAGATTTCTAAGCTAATTAGATTTAATTATCGTAGTATTGAAGTTACTAATTAACAGTTAATCAGGCAGTACAAGATGCAAACTATCGAAGAAAAATGGAAGATTAGGGCTATTAGCCTGATTCTTAGTCTGTGTTTGTTTGTTTTTGTTTTAAATTAAGTTGTTTTATATAATTTTGGATCATTTTGATGTGTTGAGGTAAAAAATAAAGGGTAACAAATGAAAAATATATTTCCAAATAAAAATCACTTTCAAAAGCAACCCCTATTATAATCTCAAATACTACCTTAATCATACCATCTGTGGAACTCGTAATATGTGTTGCCATCACTTGGCTATAAATTTTTATGTAAAATCTAGTTGCACCAAAATGAGGGACTATGACTTTTTTTTATTAAGGTGTTGCTCCGTAGTATCATTGTTGACTCTCTCGAAGTTGTGTCTAGTTGTAAAATCTTATTGCCGATAGTGAATTTAAACCCTCCTAGCTGTTATTGTACTGAATAGTTGTTGCGAAGATAATGCTCGTGTTATGAGAATTCTCCAGAAATTAACAGGTTAATGTAGAGGCTGCCTTTGTATAATGCTTGATGTAGGACTATGGATATAAAAAGGTAGTTATAAAAGATTTTAATCGTTGATTGGATAGATAGATAGAGAGTACAAGAATGTGATTTTACAGGGAATGTCTAATTGTGAAAGCAAATATTACTTCCCAGGATATTCTAAGACGGTTCCAATTCATAAAAATATGGATAGAATATGTTTCCTTGCAGGGTAAATTTACTTCTTAGCAACTGTCCTGCATCCAGATTTAAAGTAGTTGGATCTCTTAAGCTTTACCTATTTGGAATTTCTCTGGTGGTTTTTCCTTCTATCTGCAGTAATTATATTCTTCTCTCTTTTGGTCATCAATTTTGTTTTGAATTTTTTCTTTAATGCTTGGAAAAAATTTCCTAGTGGTATTAACATCATGTAAGTTTAGGTTATTATGGACACAAGAATAGGGCTGTTATTTCTTTTCACTCTAAGTGCTGCTGGGTACACTGCTGCTAGACAAATGGCAGCCACTGAGATTTTCAGGACGACTACAGAAACCTATGACATATCAGGTAATCTCTTAACCCTTTTTGCATACGAATTAACAGAATTTTGCAATTGTATACCATCAGTTGATGGACCTATGGTTTCGTGGTGTAATTTGAAACTCTGTTAGCCGCACATTGTGACTATAGTGCCATAACAATGACATGTTTAATTTATGTTAGCGCGCACTGCTTCTGTTATTTCCTGGCCAGGGAAATTGACTAGAAATGGTTCTGTTCTGTTTAGTCAGATGTTAAATTGTAGCTTGGTGTTATCTGAACTTATACCTAGCAGTTTTATTGATTAATCCCACTGGCAGTTTCATTTAAAATACTCTGCAGAGTACACCAACAGAGCATATTCAATTTGGTGATGTTTTACAGCTTAAGATTTGTTTTTCTTCTTCTTCTCTTTTTTTTTTTTTTTTTTTTTTGGGGGGGGTGGGGGGTGATAGAGTTTGAAGTGAAAATTTTTAGATCATAAGGAAAAACCCTGCCTTTCATATTACACTGCATCAGAAAGATATTGTAATGTTACTGTCTCCAAAGTGGAATAAGGAAAAAACCTGCCTTTCATATTACATGTATGTGATCGCCTTTTGGGCTATTCGCACTCATATTAGAAGCAAAAAGTGTGGGATCCTTGAAATTTGATATTTTCCAAAGTCATGCTATTGTATGATCATGGATGGGTAGATCTTAAACAACTATCCCATTTAAAAGATGCTTCAAATCTGTCCTTTCTGGTTGGAAAATAATATGTTTTTCCTAGGATTGCTGATGTGAACTCCTTGGCTCCCTTATATGATCATGAATGAGCAGATCTAAAACAACTCTCCCATTTAAAAATGCTTCAAATCTGTCGTTTCTGGTTGGAAAATAATTTTCCTTTTCTAGGGTTGTTGATGTGAAACTTCTTAATTCTGAAAATATTCCCATTACTGATGCTGTGCTTCCTTTTTCAGCTATCAAAATGAAAAACCAGGAGCAAGAAACAGATATTCAAACTTCAAACAATGTTACCAGGAAAGATGAGGTGTGCACATTGTGCAAGGAGTTTGCTGCCCAGGCACTTGATTACATGGCTGAAAATGAAACCCAGACTGAAATTCTTGAAATCCTTCACGAAACCTGTTCTTGGTCGGCTATTTTCAAGCGAGAGGTAACCTTTAGCTTTTTGGCTGATCATTATTGGATGTTGAATTGGAAACCAAAAATTTTGGCCTTTCACTTCTTTCCATCAATTGTGCTACCTTCAGTTTTTCTCTGCAAGATTTTGTTTGTGGTTCGTGTGTTGGTCTAAATTCTGTATGATAATGTATAATTCTGGACATCCACTTCGGTAGCATCGGTGTAGCAGCAAGTGTGGAGTTGCAAATTCTAGCAGGGACATTTCTTTTTTGGAAGGCAGGCAGACCGGAGTGGATTGGCTGAATGCTATTATCACACCCATTTGCTATAAGAGAAATTGAGCATGTGATCTCCATCTATAATAGTCGATTTCCAATTAAGGTGACATCAAGTGGAGTCCTATGATGAAGGATTTGGAAATGTTCTGACCATGTGCATGATTTGTTCTTGAAATGTATGCTTGTGACTTAAATTGACTTGTGGTTGCTAGCCTGAGAATTTTACCTTTGCAGCTGTATATCATGCTGTATGTACAGGTGGCTTTACATGTGCATAAAATGTCTTCTTACTTTCTCCATACTCGAGTGAATCCTTAAATTGACTTTAGTTTTAGAAAGCTTGATTAATCTATTTGGACGTTTCCTGTTGCAAGACCGCATAAATTGCACTTATTTTTATCTAAAAGATGTTATTGTACTTGGATACTGGATAGTTTGTTTTCAATGGTCAGCATAACACCACAAGTGCCAATTGGATGGATAATGATTGCAGAGATTGTTTGTGTCATGTAATTTGAATAATTATAGTGTGAATTCATGCACCACAAATTTCTATTTCTAGGTGTATGTATGACTGTCTAATTTGACTAATTGCACCCAGTACTGTTACTTAGTGGTGGAACTCTGGCCATGGAGAAGCTTGTAAAACATTGTGTATCTTAAAATCCTTGAATACTTAATTATGGTACTTAACCAATTCTAAATGCTTTATGTTTTGCTTTGCACAGTGCATCACTTTGGTGGACTCCTATTCTTCTATTTTCTTCTCATATGTTTCTTCAGTGCAATCTGATGATTTCTGTCGCAAATACAATCTCTGTCATGAAATGGAAATCTTCTCTGCAAAACACCATGAGGATAGCTGTAGCATTTGTCAACATGCTATTTCAGAAGTATTAATCAAGTTGAAAGATCCTGACACACAGGTTTGCTTTTGACTGTTGGCTAGCATGGATAATGATTATAAAGGTTGTTTTGCTTTACTGCCGCATTATTTGGATGCAATTATTTAATCAATCACACATGTTAGATCATTGTTTTCTGGATCAATGACCAACCAAAGACCAAAAGGCACCAATCTGGCAATCCATTTGTTGGACTGACTAGCAATAAATAACGAATTAGTTGTTGATATCATATCCTTTGAAACACTTGTCCAGTCCAGAAGAACTACAGAAACAGGAAAATGGAACTTTCTTCCGCTTCCTTTTTATATTTTTGGGAAACTGATTGGTGAGATAATCTAATTGTCACCTCATTGCAGTTAAGAGTGCAATTAATTTATACACCGACAGAATCAATCTTAAGTTCTTATAATTTCTCTATTTATTTACTTTTTATCGTGTATGATGCATGTATTGCAGTTCTTTGCCATTCAGTCAACCTAATGCTCCTTCTTGGTTTTTTTTTTTTTCCCAGCTGGAAATAATCGATTTACTTTTGAAGGCATGCAACTCCATGGAGAATTATGCTAAAAAGGTGAGAACAATACTGGAATTTAAGATGAAATATTTATTGTATTACACTTTAATTCAATTGTAATTCAGAAGACAGTGAACAGGGCCGTAACTCAACCTGCACCACAAATCTATTAAGCTTCTCCATCTTGTTGGCCACCTATTTGATTTGTCACACTTATTTGCATGATAGTGTTGATCCTCATTGATTGATCGATTTCATTCTATACTAATGGTCAATGGTTTGTATAGGCATCCTAGGATCACCATCTATAAGAAAACTACACAATGAACACGTAAGGCTAGACAAAATTAATATAAAAGAAACATTAAATTGAAATTTTAGTGGCATTTTTCCTGGATATTAAAATTCTTAATTAAAAGTTACAGTAAATTCAACCCGCGATCATATGATACAACTCGATATATTTCTCTAACATCTTGTTTGGATTTTTTGGCAGTGCAAAAGGATGGTTTTTGAGTATGGCCCCCTGATTCTTATCAATGCAGAGCAGTTTCTGGAAACAAAAGATGTATGCACACTGTTACATGCCTGCAAAGTGCCAAAAGACAGTGGTGAGCAAGCATCGACAATGCTGATGGCTGATTCATAATCATGATGCGAAACATCATTGGGAAGAAAATGCTCATGTTGCAGGTGTGCATAATAACTGATGCTTCATTTGTAATTATGGTGCGCTGTAATTTCATTACGTGTTTGAAATAATTACATTCTTGTTATATAAAAACAATAGATCTGGAAACGCATTCGCATTTCTCTGCTCATCGGAAGCTCTAGATAATTGAAGTAGTTTGACTTGGGAACTTCAGATCTTGCAGGTTGCTGATGAACAAAAACAAAGAAGAGAAAACTTACACAAGCTTTATTACATGACACTGGTGGGTTACTCCATTTAGTTGCTTCTTGTCCTTGCCCTGTCCTCAAATTTAGTTTGTAGTAACAACCTCTTCACCTCAGTTAAATGTGTTGATTCCTACAACAGGGGCCGAACCAGAAAATAAAATTAGAAGAAGCTAAAATGTTAGTTGTTTTATTATTTTGGTTAAGGGGAAAGCTGGAAAAAAAAATTCTTTATAGGGGTCGGGCCCCCGCCAGCTCCCCGTCCCCGCCGCTGCCTATATATTAAATTTTCTTAACCTTGTGGTCTGCAAGTTTTATTTCAGTGGACCTTTTGTTTTTCTAGCAGAAAAAAGGTAGGGAAACATGAAGTTAAATGGAGTTTCGGATCCGAAATCTTGAAAAAGAAAGTAGTTTCATAAAATAAACACATACCAAGAAGGCAGCCCTTTTCTTGACGTCTTTTTAACATAATTTGGACTGAGTAGTTTCTTTAGTTTCCTTATTAACGGTAAAATTAGCTTCAATCTCTTGAAGAATTACGTTTCTATCTTCAATTAACCACAAAAAACCAATGATTGATTGAAAAAAAGAAGAAGAAGAAGAATGTTTGCAGTACTATAAATAGATATTCTCTAAATATCATTAAAATATTTTAATAATTTTATTTGTTAAAAAAATAAAAAATTAAATGAGAATAAGATAATTTCAATCGGAGAAAAATGAATCTTAATTACCAACAAAACAAATTTTGAAAGATGAATTGAAAAAAAAATCAATTTTAAAAGAGGATAAAAAACTTAACTCGAGTTAGTATGTCAAATTTGTGGCTCGGTTGTGAGATTAGAGTAGCTCCACACATTAAAAAAAAAATTAAATGAAATAATAGAGGTCAACTCTTAAGTAAACTAAATAATAAAATAAATAATGATAGATAAAATTAAAAAAAAATCAATTAATTTTATTTTTTCAATTCAACCTAGGTTAACTTGACTAATTTAAGGTCCAATAACCTCACAAAAAAGAAAGCAAAAAAAATTATGAAACTTAAGGTCCAATAATCTAATGTCTAAATATAAATGTCTAAATATGAGATTGAAAAATAAAATATCAAATTTAAATCAAGTTAATCTTCAAAACTCGTGACACTAAAATTACTCTATAAAAGATAAACACGAAAAAATCACAAAGAAATATTCATAATTATAAAAAATTAAAAAAAAAATAACAATCAAAACAATGAAGACCAAATATGGTAGAAAAAAATAAATGAAAGAAAAAAAATAAGGGAATAAATTGAAAAATAAGTGTAAAAAACAAAAAGAAATAGTAATCAAAAGAAACATGACCAAATTAGATATAAAATTAAATGAAATAAAATGTTGAAAAATAAAATTAAAAAAAATTAAAAAGCATCAAAAAAATATATAGCAATCAAAAAAATAAAGATAAAAATGAATACAAATACCAACTGTTAGGACACATTTAATTTTAGAAAAAGCTAGTGTTAAAATCAAGATAAAAGGAGAAAAATAAAAGAAGAAAATCCATTGAAGCCTAATCATTGTTATATCATGCACACACTCTTGATCATAAAAAAGAAAACAACATGATGCTTTCAACATTGTCTCGAAAGGCAACATTTGTCTGTCGATAGACATCGTATGCACTGTTTAAAGAGTGCAGATGCCTCTCATTCCCCAACTACTTTATTTTTTTAATTATATTTATATTTATCAAAATACTGAATTGCTCTTTATTCAAATTGATTATAACTAAAAACCATAATGAAAATATAAAAAAAAATCCTAGATGTAAGTTTTTTTTTTTTGCTTTTAAAAGCAATTTAGTTATTTTATTATACAATCAAAGCATTAAAAGACTGAAAAATCCTTGGATCATAATTTTAAGTTTTTTTTAAAAGATTATTTAAATCATTTTACTGTGTAACTTTAATATTAAAAGATTAATTTATTCCCGATTAATATGATAATGACAAAGGGATACTATTGAATGATTGTTTTGCCCTCAATAACTAATTAAATGATTTTATTTAATAATTATTTCACAGTCATAATTCATAATAAATTGTGTCTTGATAATTAGTAAAGTGAAAGATCGTTCTCTTTTAATTAGCTTTTGATTGTAGTGGCAGTTATTTGCGTTTATTGTGTTCAGAGGCTGTTTCTTGGATTGGAAAACAAGGGGAATGTGCTGATGCAGAAGCATGAAATAGGGGGGTTGTTGGGCAAAGAGAAGGTATTGAAGGTTGGAATGATGGACAGATTAAGTGAGAAATTTATTTCATGAGACTGATTAGACATCCGAATGAGGTGATGGCTACCAAAACTAGGATATACTTTGCATAGATTATGTTAAAGGTGGCGAGCTGTTCAACAAGGTTGCCAAGGGAAAGCTCAAGGAGGATGTTGCGAGGAAATATTTTCAACAGCTGATTAGTGCGGCTGATTCTGTCACAGTAGAGTTTTGCATCGTGATCTGAAGCCAGAAATCCTACTGTTGGATGAGAACAAAAATCTAAAGGTTTCTGATTTTGGATCAAGTGCTCTTGCTGAATCCAAGCGGCAAGATGAGCTGCTTCACACAACCTGTGGAAACCCTGCTTATGTTGCTGCAGAAGTGACAGCACAAGAGGCTATGATGGAACTTAAGCTTGGTCATGTGGGGTGGGGTGGGGTGGGGTGATAACATGTTCTACCGGCTGGCTATCTTAAATTCCGGGATCCAAATATTATGGGGAGTTTAGGAAGACAGCGCAGGGAGAATTAGAGCTCAGAACGGTCGGTGAACGTTGCTGCAAATCCAAACAACTAGCAGTTCTTAATCTCAACTCAACTTCATGCTTTATGTTTCATAATTATCAGCTCGCCAATGAACCCTGCTCGATCGATATAGCCCTTTTCCTGGCCTCCCATCCCAACATTTGGGAGAAATACAGGGAGATCGGGGCTCCATGACACGTTCTTTAAGAGGGAAATTTTGGTTTCCATGATTAGATAGCCTTTGACTTGGGATGGAGGGGGAGTCTCCCAGGTACATGTAAAAGTGAACCAAACATGAAAAGAAGGCCAAAATAGCTTTTTCATAAGCATAAGCAGCATGCGCTAGCATCATCTCATTGGCATTCATTCAGATGAAGATCAAGAGGTTTACAACTACGAGGAATAGCTCCATCTTCAAAAGAAGAAATTTTCCTCAAAAAGGGGACACACCCCCCTCTCCCCCAGGCAAAACCTAAAAAATTTTGAATTGTAGTCAACCTAACTGTTACCTGATGCACACGTGAATGCATGTCAAAGGTAATCCTAATTTCCTATGCATGCTAAGTACGTAAAGATCAATGCCCCTTTAAAGAACCGATGGAAGAAGATACAATCGTGTCCAGTATTCTAAGCTCCCATCCAAAGGGGACATTTGCCTCTTCAGAACAGGAGGTCTGATCAGGCGACTCATACTGTCACCCTTTTTTCTTTTTTCTTTTTCCTTTTTTTACTTTTCTTTCCTTTTTTTAATCGAACGACCACTGTACATCTGAGGTGGGGAACAAACCACCAAAATTGGGTCTTGTGACAGATGACTTCCCGAAACCTTCTCCTGAACCTTGTGCACCCCATTCATTCCTGCCAGTGGAAAAGAAATGAACCAGAGAGATTAGCATTATCAGTTTCAACACTGTAGCCAAGCAAATAGACAAACTAGTACCACTCAAAGGTTGATTAGTTGTTCTAATCATTAATGAACATAATCGTTCGTAATCAAAATATTGTATTAGTTTTATTTACATATTCAAATATAGTAAATACATCTAATTAGTGCATATATAATTATCAAATTATGTTAAATTTTATTAGAATTGTGCTTATTTTTATATATTGCTGCATCACCCGCCGAGGAGAATATCAACAAACATTTATTGCCTATGCAAATTATTTTTTTGGATCTGTATTGTGTATTTAAGTTTTGACTCAACATTAATCTTCAGTATTTTTAATAATCTTTGAAATATTTATTCATATTTCTTTCTTTGCATTCGGATGCTTCATCATGGTGTTGATTAGTTTCCTAATACTCTTGAAAAAATAGATTATTATATATATTCAGGCGGTTTAACAGTTAGGTGAGTACAAGCTCAAACTCTACAATCTAAGAGAACGAAGGCTGCAGGAGATACCTGCATTACAACAGTTTTTCTTGGTCCTAAGCCACTCCAATTAATTGTGGCCAGGAATTAGAATCCGGCCCAAGAAATGGATATTGTACATGAAAAAGCTAAGTATGACAAATACCACCGGGTGGTTATTTAAATAAGCAACCGAGAATAGTGACCATAGTAAAGGTTAAAAACCACAGTTCACTCATGAATTTATGATTTAACTGCGAAAAACTTGGGAATCCAGAGTCAAATCATTCTTTTATTGTCCAAAATAATGGAATTATTTCAGTGCATCAATCTAACACAATATTCTTTTCATCTCAGTTATCATAGTTTTAATTGATATCAAATGATCTTCAGACGTTTCAACAATGATAAAAGTCAGACTGATGGTTCCTCGTTTTAGTCATATATACATTCCAATTCCAGATTAGAGATCTAATAAAAGAGAGTTCAAATGATGATGCACTCACTTGGAACAACTATGGACTGGAGATGACCCAAAAGCATTGTCGGTTGCAGCTCCAGTGGGACTCCGATAAATCACTTCATTCTGAGCACATTCCTCCTGAGATTTCAAAGAGAATTGGCTAGTGCTGCTTGATAATGGTGGGAAAAAGGCATTCTGTAACCATGGTTCATTTTCACTTGCACCAATGACTGGACTGAATACCCCACCATTCTGACCATTGCCAAGAAAAACCTTCTGAGGAGAAAGAGTACCAGAAAGGATTTGATCATCTTTTGTAAACAGCGTTGGCATAGTTTTCTGAGATGGAGGTGGTATAATATCTTCCTTGGTTGATCTGTTTCGTTCTGGGGGTAAAAGCCAGCTTCCTGGGCCACCTACTAAACCTAAACCATCCTGACCAAGAGGAGAACTGTTCCACATTTGCCATGTTCCCTTCTCATTCCCATGCATATCATCCATAGGTAGAGTGTTAAAATCTTGGGCTATAGGAGTAGTTGGGAACCAGTTAGAACCATTATTCTTTTCATCAGCAGTTCGTAGTCTTGACAAAGGGGATTCAATTGGAGATGGCTTGTTCACTTCAGGAGATGCAGACACATTCTTTATAGCATAAGGCCTTTCCAATCCCAGTCCCATGTCTGGTGCAAAACCAGTTCCCAGGTCTAACTGAAAATTATCAAGCGACTCTGAAACAGGCCCAAGCAATGATATTGGGTCAGGAATATAACATGGATCTTCAAACAGTTCTGGTTCTTCAGGTATAAAATCACAGGACCCTTCCACAGAACGCGGAAAAATTGGTTCAATAGGAGGTGAGAAACCTAAACTAGTGCTAGTGGATACATTTGGAAATGCAGAGACTGGAAATGGTGATGGCAGCCCAAAATTGATTGGGTTATCAAATGATTGCATTGGTGATGATTGCAGAGGAAACTGTTGAGCATGAACTTCTGCTTGTTTTGAATATGGTCTACAGATGACATTTGCATTTGAGGATGAAGGAGCAGGTGATGAGCGTGCAAATAATTGCTGCCATGTTTTCTTAGGTTGGCTTGGTTGCGTTTCAGAGAGCACCTGTTGTGAATAGCAGAGCATCTTAACACTGTTTTTCTTATAAATGCATTGCTAATCCACAAGCATCCAAAATAAGCTTTCTATCTTTAACAAAAACCCTAACATGCCTTTCAATCAAAGTTACCCAGAAGTCTGGGCAAATAACCAATGATAGGAGACAAATCTCATCACAAAGCAAAAGGGCAAGCATTTAAAAAATCTAGATCGAACTTATGCACATATGACTAAAATAACAAGGAGAAATTCAATATGGGATTAAAAAAAAAAACAATTTCTGCATAACTTACTTAGCCAGCATGCCTGTAAACATAATAAAAAGAAATTTAATAGGAGACAATTTCACCAGAACCCTAGCATGCTTTTCAAACAAAGTTTCTAAGAAGAACAGGCAACTAAGCATTAACAGAAAATTTTCAAGGCAACAACACAAACATTTTAAAATCTATCTCAAATTTTTGCACAAAGTTGAAATGACAATCAATCAAGCCGGTTAACCATGACGTTCAATCAATGTTGCAAAATAAGTGCTAGACAATCAAAATTTATAATCAATAGATGGCCAGTGCAGCATGCCATGAGAATAAAATCAATATAAAGAAACAACAAATTCTGCATGCCTAAATTTTTTTCCACCTGTCAACAAGTGAAAATTGAAAAGGGTAAACATGCAGCAAGACAACTTACAGGACGATAGATGTTCCTTTCATCTCCGTTCAGACTTGCTTTCCCAGCCAGACGGTCTGGTGCATGTATCTCTCTCCTATAGGCAGAAGTATGAACAGGATCTATAGAACTGTTGGGCTTATTTTCTTTAGTGACAGTAGCAGGCGTGTTAGCAGGTTTTCCAAAGAAACCACCTCCACTAAAAGCTCTGGAAGAAGACAAAAATGTACCCTTCATTCGATCAAAATACCTAGATCCAGTATTGCCCCGGTTAAAGTTGCTTCCAGATGTATTCTTAATCCCATGTCCCAATTCAATGTTCTGACCTTTTACACTCTCTGTTCCAGATTTTTGATGTTGACGGCGCTCAATTTCACTCTTCTTCTCAACATCCCGCTTCTGATCACTTTCCTTTCCTGCTTTCTTTTCCAACTCTTCTGCATCAGAGTTGCTCTTACTAGACTCCTTGTCTTTCTCTTTCCTTCTTTCCTGACGTTTCTTTTCTGCTTCCTTCCTACTATTTCTCTCCCTGGTCAGTGGTGATGATCTACTTCGATCCCTTTCAGCCTCTGTTATCTCATCCCTCAGCTTCCTGCGTTCCTCTACCAATCTAGCAACCTCCTCCCTTTGCTTTTTCTCTCCCCCCTCTAAGAGCTCCTTCTCTACCCTAGCCTGTCTCTTCTCTTCAGCTTTCCTGCGTGCTTTCTCTCCTCTACTCTCATGAAAGTTTTCCCCATTTTCACGCCTCTTAGCCAACATCACCCTGTGCTCAGCATCAGAAGAGCCATCCTCAGAGGAACTAGTCCTAAAAATTTTCCTCCAAAGCCACCGAATGCTCAAGAAAAAAGATGTCAACAACTTGCAAGCAAAAATTACAACCCCTGAATATGATGTCTTAGTCAAACAATGTCCATCCCCTCCAAAAATCTCACTCCCATTCTTCCTCCAATAACTAGACTTCCCAGCAACAGACCCACCAGCCCAGCCACCATTATCTAACCACTCCTGACTACACATCCATCCATTATCACTCCACGCCTTGCCATTCAGTAACTTCCCACCTTTCCCCACCAAATCCTTAATAATACCAGAATTTGAAATCCCCAACCCAGGTGGTACAGGCAAATCCAAAACTGGCCGTTTCGAAATATGCCCACAATAAGAACACATAAACTTACCTGCACCTGGATTCTGATCCTTATATGGAGTCAAACAATTCCTACACTTCCTCGTAGCAGTTTTCCTAAGCTTCTGCAATTCAATGGCTTCAAACCTTTTCCTCTCCTTCAATCGTGCATTTCTACGCACCCGCCAAGCAGACAGCTGTGGCATCAAAACCTCGTACCAAAATAAAGTAACCAGGAGCACAAAAACACACGCCAGTCTCGGCGATGTAATCTCAAAACGAAATGCCGGCGGCAATAGCTGTGAAAGTGCCCATAATCCTATCAAAGGAATAACTAACCAAGGCAGCATCGTAGCAACCCGGCGAGACCACTTTTGTATCACACACAGTATACACATTATCCTCCTATTTTCCCCGTCTTTGGAAAACAATCCAACACAAACAGATGAAAGAAAGAAAAGAAAATCCCCAATTCAAAATATAGCAATGCTTCAAATTCGAGACCCTAACCCTATTTTCTCCTATTCAAACCAATTCGCAGATACTTCAAGAACCCTAAAAATCAATAAATAAATAAAATCCCAAATCAATTAAAATTTAAAAAATAACAAAACCTAATCCAAGATTAATTGACTGATTAAAAATAATTGCTAGATTAGAGTTTGATAAAACGGCGACGTAATGAGCTGGAAACAATGCGAGAGAGATTCAGGGACTTACAGGTTGAGAGACCATGGCAATTGATGGAAATGAGAGGCAGAAAATGAAGAAGATGAAAAAAGATTTTGATAATCGGGGCACGCGGGTTCGGATTTTGGAAATCGGTTCGTCGTTGTTGTTGTAGCAGCTTTTGTGTTTGTTTTTCTGTTTTAACAGAGAAGAAACTCGAGAAAGAGCGGAGAAGAACAAGAAACTATAAAAATAAATGTATGAATAAAATTTTTATAATAAATAAGATAAAAGGGAGATTTTGTTAAAAGATAAATAAATAAATAAATAAATAAATTGAGGGAATTTAAGGAAAACAAATTATACAAGCAATCTTTCAAGTTTTTTAGGGTGAATTATAGTATAGTCCTTGTAGATTATGAGATATTCCGTTTCAGGCTCTCACTGTTTAAACTTCTCAAATTTTTCAGAATATCTCAATTCATTTATTTATTGTGAAATAGCTAATAATTAATTTTTTTTGTTGTTGAGTATTTCTGTACCTTCAAGGATTATTTTGTGGAATACTATAACAAGCTTGGAAGACAAATACCAGAGAGGATCAAGAGAATATTGAAAAATAAAAAGCGTTTATCATTGTATTAGCAACGCATTTAACAATAAGAAATTGTACTGGAAAGATGATAATAAAAAAAGATAAAATTTAAGGATTGAAGTGAAAATGCTAAGTGTTTATTCCACTTAAACTAAATTGATATCCCGTGTGATTTTATTTTTAATATAAAAAATATTGCTTAGATGCTTCTCATGTATGTTAGATAAACTAGAAAAATTTATGGGCATAAATTTGATTAAATTGAATAATTTTTTTTATTTAATTATATAATAAGGGAAAAAAACAATAAATTGACTGAATTAAAAAAAATAACAAAAAGAACCCCAAAACAATAAAATATTAGCAAGCCCGAATAAGTCCACCAAATCCTATCTCATGAGTTAGATCATGCGAACAAGATAACCTAATAGATGAAAAAATAAAAAAAAATTATAAAGTTTAATTTTTAAAATAATTAAATGCTGAATGATGAAATAGAAAAAATATTTGATCTTAAAAAAAAACCCTAAAAAATACCTGAGTTAACCTGAATTAACTTGCCAAACTCGTAACTTATGTCATAATATCGATGTAACCCTATAAAAAGGAAAGCAAAGAAAATCACGAAGCTCAAACCATATAAACTCAATATTAAAAGATGAAACTGAAAGAGCATATTATTATAAAAATAAGATCTAAAAAAATTATCAATGTCAACCTGAGTTAATTTTTTAAATATATGTCTCGATTTATGAGATCAAGCCTAACTCATAAAAAAATAATGAAATTAAATTCTTAATCAACCTAGTATTAAAATAATTAAATTGGAAAGATAGTTCTATTTAAAAAAATAAATAAAAATAAAAAAATGATAACCAGATTCAATATAAAAATAAAAGGATGGAACACCTTTTAATTTTGGCTAGGATAGCGTGATTCTCAGAGAGAAGAGAGAAAAAAAAAAGAAAAAAAGAAAAAAATCATCAAAACTTCGTCGTCGCTCCTCCACCAACACACAATGCCTCACTTGAAAGTTGTCACTACAATGCTTTTAATGCCACTAAAAAATCTTTTAAGGCTTAATTATTTTACATCAAATTTTATCTTATTTTTACAAACTAAGCATTAACTAGATACCAACTTTTTATGTTGATTGAGAGATTGTCATTTCTATGCAACCAAAATAAACAACTACATTAAATCATAAATAAAAGCAATGTGAAATGATTATTTTTTAAAAAAAAAGTTAAGTGATTAAAAAAAAAAGGATATGAATTTTTTCTCTGCTCATGCAAATCAGTCCTCAATGTTATAAAAAAATAAGATTGAATATTTTGAAAAATTTCAAATCCAATTCTTGAAGCTTTAATTTTTTCAAATCAATAAAATTAAATTTTAATTTTTCAAATAGAGAAATAACCAAGGAATAAAACACTTCTTTGACACTGTGAGATCTCCGTACGCAAGCATAAATAATATATTACCCTAACCAATTTCAAATCATCGTAATTTTAAAGGGCAAATAAAAAGAAAAATAAATAAATGTCTATAGGAAAAAAACAAAAAAAAAACAAGAGACCAAAAAAGAATTCATATTAATTCCTGTCGCAAGTCATACTAAATCACTTATGGCTCTTAGTTTAATTCTTTTTATATATAATAATTGGGTTAGAAAATTTAGTCCGAAAATAATAATAATAATAATAATAATAATAATGAATACCAAGTCTAAAATGGGTGTTTTATTTTTGCATATATGCCAAATATTAGTGATTAATATCTTAAAAGGATACAAGTGCCTTCAAAATAATAATAATAAATAAAAACCTCTTTGCAATCAATTGAAGCTTTCTCTTTATTTAATTTTCTTATTCTCTATTTTATAATATCACTAGTTTACGTAGCCGTTTATAATAAAAAAAATTAACCATAATAAAAAAATATTTAGATTATAAAGAATTATTTAATATTTTTATTAAATCTAATCTAACAGATCAACCTTAAAATTTCTTCATTTAACTATTTAATTAACTTGAGTTTAAAATTAAATCATACAAGAATTGACTTGACATGACCTAATAATTTTAATTAGTTTAAAGACAATCTGATTGACTAGTTAAAATATCTAAGTATAAAATTGAGAATAAAAAAATGAAATTGACATAACAAATACTTTCTGATTCAATTTCTTGTCTAATCCAACTTTAAAATAAAATTATATGAAAATTAACCTGACATGACTTAGTCGACTTAGTTAATGCAAAAATAACCCAACCAATCCGTAAAAAAAATTCATAGAACAAAATTGAGGGGAAAAAATGTAATTAACAATAAAAAAAAATATATCAACTCAACTTCTTTCCTAGCCAAAATTTAAAATTAAAATCCGTTAGAATTGCTCCAATATGATTCAATCTACTTGACTTATCTAAAAACAATCTAAGTGATGATTAAAAAAATCTGAAAATTAAATTGAAAAAAAAATAAAATCAAAAGAAAACAAAAAGGAGAGAGCTAAACTAAATAAAAGGCTAACTTAAAAAAGAAAGAAAGAAGGAGCCAAATGAAAAAAAAGAGAGGTTGAATTAAAAAATAAAAAAATAAAGAAAAGGAGAAGTTTCACTATTAATATGAGTCGTTAAGCTCCGTTAAGTTTCCTAGTAGGGTAATAAGAAAAAAAAATCTCTCACCTTGATAAAATTATTATGTATTTGCGATTTTAAATATAAATTTGTAGACAGTACAGTAAGATTAACTCATATAATTTATATATTTCCTCGACTAGAAGCCTCCAAGGATAAATACAAGGTTTCGTATTTATAAGATTTCAGATTCAACGAAGTAAAGATCTATTTTCACAAATATATTTGACCCGTGTGTGCATGATGCACGCTAAGATTTAGGAATTAGAGACGTCTTAAAAAGCATCTTGACGAAAATGGGAGAAAAATTCAAGTTTTAGAAGAAATAGATATCTGACCCGTCTTTTATTACTGGTCAAATATTTTTTTAAAAAAAAATTAAATATATAAACTTTCTTAATATATATTTTTTATATAAATTTTTTTAAATATAATCCCTTTTTTATCGTAGATCAAATATTTTTTAATAAAAAATTAAATATACATATTTTTTTTATATGTATTTTTTACATAAAAAACATTTTAAATATAAATTTAAAAATTCATGCATATGTCTAATTAAGCAAATCAAGAACCATTTATGTTAATAAATAAAAAAATCATTAAAAATAACTAAAAATAAATAAAAAATATTTAATTTTAAAATGTAAATTATATGCCCGGTAATAAAAACCAATATATATATATATATAATTGATTGAATAAAATAAAAAGAAAAAAAACTACACAATGTTGCATATTTTATAAATATTATTTAAAAATAAATATGTTTTATTTTTTAAAATAAATTTTACTTGTATAAAATATAAATAAATAAATAAATCATAATAAGCTCTTTAAAAACTTTGTGCATAAAAAATAATTGCTATCTAAAAAAAGACTAAATAAATAAAATAAAATTATAAAGAAGGGGTATTAATTAAAATATAAATTAAAAAATTATTTAAAATAAAAATATATAAAAAAGTATTAAAGAAAAAAACAAGATTAAAAATAGAAAGAGATTAGATATTATTACGCCTGATAAGCCAAGCTAACTTAGTCCATTAGAAAAAAGATCACACACGAGCCCTTATTATCTTAAAGTTGACGGGGGTGAATGGTAAATGTTTTTGACAAAAAAAAATATAAAACATGTGCGGGTGTAGCATGTTTTTCCAAAAGGTGTCTTCTATGTAAGTGACGTGTCTTCATTGGTGTTGGAGACAATTGTATTAGTTGTTTTTTAAAAATGTTTTTATTTAAAAGTGCATAATAATATTATTTTGTATTTTAAAAAAATTATTTTTAATATTAATATATTAAAATAATCTAAAAATATAAATATGATTTGCATAGCATTTTCAAATGGTATCTTAAAGCAAGCTTATTCCCAAACTTGTGCAGGTGTGGTGATGTTCCATCGTTACTTCTTCTTCTTATAGTTTTTTCAAATTTTAAATATTAAAAATTATATTTCTCACTGCAAAATGCAAAAAAAATAGCAACTCATAAGATCTTAATATATAAAAAAGTAAGATTTTTATAGTTGTTTTCAATTAATCGTCAATGGAAAACTTTATATGGAAAAGATTTTCCATTTAAGAAATCTCAAATTAATTTTTAAGATGATCAATAAATCTTGATCGTCATTACATTGACACATTGATGTCTAGAGAAGACCTATGGAGACAAATACCATTGAGTATTAATAGTATTAATCCTGTATTCCAACTTTATAAAAGTAAAATATTCATAACATTATTAGAACCACTTGATGGAAAAACTCCATTTAATAAATTCTGAAATCTATCTCGAGTGGGTTAATAAAATATCAATCTATTTTTTTTTTAATTCAATGCGTATTATGGAGTAAATTTATAAAAGAGAAAAAATATAATCAAAATGAGTTAATTAAGATAGATTAATTGAACTTTTTGACATAGTCGTGCTACCATACAATCAATATTAATAAAAAAATAATTGTATTTCAACACGAATTAATTAAAAAATCTTTTATAGAGAGCGGCAAG